GCTGTGGTCTGAGGAAAGCTCGTCAAGACGGGCAACGGAATGGATGAGAGCACCTAAACCATTATGGATAAAGAAATCGAGGATATCGGGATTACGGTTAGGATCAGTTGGCCAGTAGGTAGGTGAGTTGGGTGGAAGAAGGGTAAAATTTTGGGAATTGAGTACAGACAGCAATGTTCGACCACGAGAATTCGTGGTTCTTGAATCCCATTGTTGATGCTTGGCGTTTAAGTCTGCACCCAAGATGAAATGATGTCCTAAGGAAATGAGGAAGGAACTAAATTGGATATTGGAGATGGATTGGTTTGGAGGGCAATACGCTGATGCAACGGTAATAGGAAAGGAGAAGGTTTTGATTACGACTGCGGTGGATTGTAGGAAATCGTGTGTAGGCAGTGGGAGTAGGTGATGGGAGAGGGATTGGTGCACAATGACTGCAGTACCGGCATGTGCTCTACCGTCAGGATGGTCGGTACGGTAAGTTATGTATTGTGGTATTTTTAGGAGCTGTTTTTTAGTCAGCCGAGTTTCCGTTATTAGGGCTACGTCTACGTTCTTGTCTTGTAGTAAGGCTGTTAGTTCGTGTATGTGATTTCTAACACCATTCGCATTCCAAAGGAGAATGGATATGGGTTTGATGGAAGTCATTTAAGGATTTTTTAAAGGAGGGATAAGGTGAGATACTAGGTTAGTGAGAAGTGATATCAGTGGGGTAACAAGGGATTTAAATTCTGAAAGAAAGGATGTCAATAAGCTGGTTAGATCTGTAGCATTAGGTTTTTATAAATTTGGCAGCCTTTGTAGTTGGCTGGATGGCCTTCCAGGCATAGGGCACAGACTGCTGGTTCTGTAATTGGTTTATTACACTCGCCAGACTTGTGTGTTTTACCACATTTCACGCAGCGTGGTAAGTGGTGGCAATAATACTTGGTGTGGCCATATGCTTGGCAATTATGGCACTGGATGAACTCTCCTTTTGGGTACGGTTTTTCGACCTTTACGCTGGTGTAGAAAATTCTATTCACATCGTATATTTTTTCGATCCCAGGCGATGGCTCTAGATCGACGAAAAATAAGGGCAATGGGATTTTATTCTTTACACCTGGTTGTTCTTTATTTTCTTTTAATACATTGGTTATCTGACGTATTTTGAACCCTAACGCTGTTAACTCTTCTTTAATCACTTCTATTGGGATTGAGGAGTGTAAATTTCTTATTACAACTCGTAGTGCTCTTTCCTGTTTCAACTGGTATGTGTGAAAGTCCGCATTTGTGTCTGTTAAATATTTTACGATTTTTCGGTACGCTTCAGGTGTGGCCGGTATTATTTTTGTATCATTTATTTTGTTTAGGCATGTATAGCTACCTGGGCAGATTTTATTAAGTTGAGTACACAACAACTGGAAATTTCTCAAATTTTTGACAAAGATAGGAGGTGGGCGTGGTTCTCGAGGTATAGGTGCATCTTCCATTTCTTCCCTGTCATTTTCAAGCACCTGGTATGGATTAGGTGTAAAAAATGGAGATTCCATTTCTTGTGAAGACGTACTTGGCAGTCGTTGAGACACAGATACTTGAGTGTTCGCTGGAGGAGTTCCGGGGGGTGTTAATCGCTTACTACGACGTGTTTTCTGTTTAGGCGGTGAATTACGTGGGGTAGAGCCAACTGAATGGGACCTCTTAGTTGACATTACTTGGTGGTAATATCGCATATAAAAAAAAAAGAAAGGGGAAAAAAAAATAAATAAATAAAACTACGTCTGCGTGTTATTACAATGGATGAACCACCGGCTGAGAACCAGCCAGTTACGTGGCTGAGCCACAACTGGAGAGGGGAGCCGTCAGCTGTTATGGCTATAGAGATTAAGCCTATAGACGCTAAATCACTAAATTCACTGTCTGTAATAGTACACAGTAAATAACAACACTACTCACTGTGGTGTTAGTCCATTGTTGTTGTTTTGATGTCTGCTTAACTAGTTTTTTTTTAAAAAGTAAAACTGAGCACTTATTCTACTAAAAAATAGTAAAACTGTGGGACACGACGTGAAATGTGGGTATTCAAATCAAGCGCATGCGCAGAACTCAACTACAAAACTACTACCCAAAAAATAACTAACAGTTTTTTTTTTTTCGTTCTGAAATCTACCAATAAGTGTATTCAGTTCAAAATTACTCAAAATGAGTTTGAGATGTTAGTAAAATATCGATATTTTTTTCTATAATTTTAATATTGATGTATCGTAATATCGATAGTAAAATTTAACTATTATAATAAATTCAATATTGCTTTAGAATCTGCAATAAGGACGATCCGGACGTTTCCTGGTGGCACTATTCATAATAGGATGACGAAGCATCTAGCTTATTATGCTGATGATATCGTAATAACGGTAACAAATAAAACACCATTAGCAGGGGCACTCGAAGAATTTGAAACAGCAGCTAAAGAACTAGGACTTGAAATAAATGAAAAGAGGACTTCTTAAATGCGAACTCAAGAACGCTGAGTGGAACAGAGGAATGTGCCACATTAGGTAAAAGGCCCAAAATATACAAAATGATTGACAGGCAAAGCTACCCTCCATCAGAAGAAGAAAGGGGGCAAAAGTGGTTGTTCCTGTGGCGAAGAGAAAGAGTTGGGAAGTCTGTAGAAGTCTACAAAATGATTATAAGGAAAACACCAAGATATTCTGGAAAAGAATTGAATCAATGAAAGGTAAGGGGAGCAAACCCATTAGAAATGTTATTGAAGAATTAGAGCGAATAAGCAAATAATTACTGAAGATGAGAAAATATTGGAGAGATGGCGTCGCCATTATTTTTCATTGTTCTCTGGCAGCTCGGAATAGTGAGTGGAGGATAGGTAAGAAACACTATCAGAAGTATATGACGACGTGATCTGGGAGGAGCAAGTCATGTGCACTTATAGAGAAAATGAAGATTGGCAAAGATGGTATTTCTCCAGAACTTATAAAAGTTCGAGGTCCACAATTACAGAAAGCTTTACAGAACCTGTTTCAGGGTATATTTTCTTCTAAATCTATGCCTCAGGAATGCAACCTCATCATACCGAACCACAAAAAAGGAAGCTCCAGTGAATGACAAAATTGTAGGCCTAAATGTCTATCCCCTATAAACTTTACTCCTCCACACTGAAAAAAAAACTCAGATTAAATGTTGAAGGTAAATTAGAAGATGAGCTTTTAGACCCCGCCGTCAAAAGCAGGACCACATCTTCTCACTAAGGATGATTGTTGAATTGTTATAGGATAAAGGAAAGAGTTTGTACTTGGCGTTCCTGGCCACAATGGCAGCATTCGATTCCGTCTCCAGAGAGGAAGAGAGGAAATATGGACAGCTTTAGCCAGTAAAAATGTTCCCACAGAACAGACTCCAAAGGAGTAGTTAGAATTAACGAGAAAATGGCGGAGGCCTTCGCCATGATAAGACAGAGTGACAGCCTTAGTCCTATCCTGTTCATAATATTTATGGATAAATATTATTGATAATGTGCAAGCTGAGGACAAAACGGACGGTCGTGAGAAGGTGGAACATGAGGACAATCCTTGCTCAAGTGATGGTTTTCGCAGATGATGTTATTGTCCTCCTTGCCGATTCCAAAGAAAACCAACAGCAGGCAGTTACTGAGTGGGAGGCTGAGCCAGAAAGAAACAGCATTATATTAAATGTTGGTGGTATATTAATAGCAAGGTGATGCGCATTGGTCGTGAAGAGGAGGAATTTTTGGTTCGCTGCGAAAACTTCGACACAGTGCAGGAGTACACTTATCTCGGAGTAGTGATCAGCTGAAACGAGAAAATCAACCAAGATCTTTCAAACAGGATTAAGAAAGCTAACGGCATATACTGCCAGCTATGCAGCACAGTAGTGGTGAAAAGAGAATTGGAAAAAAAGTTTAAAATTGGATGAGGACCAAAATCCAAAGAAATTTTTCGAGGCCAGGCCTACCGGACGCCGTCCTCGAGGAAGACCTAGATTGCTGTGAATGGACCACATCTCCAGAGTTTGTCAACAGTAGAGGGAGCCATGAATTCAATGAAAGTGCTGGCTCGAGATCGGGAGGCTTGGCCAGTCCTGGATCGGGGCACCTCCACGCTGAGCGGCAATAAGGAGGATGAAAAAGAAGAAGATGATGTACACGATATCCTGAAACTATATCAGCGACTTAAGCAGACGACACAAGAATTATAACTGGACATAAAAATCAAACAGACTTCACATCCTCTAACAAAACTAAAGGATTGGTGCAAATATTGAAAAAGTCAACTCAACCAAGACCAATCCCAACACATTACTTTCACTCTTCGACGTGAAACTTGCTCTTCTAAGTTCCTCGACAACCCAAATTCCTCTGAAAAAGTACATCTTGGACTGACATTTAATTGGAATGACATGCGGCACACATATCAATAATTAATTAATTAATATCTTCGATATTTACATACCTATCGGTAGTACCAAACGTCATGCTGTGGTCTTCCTCCCTTCCTCAATTCGTTTAATCTCCAACCTCCACACCGCACCGCTATATCAAGATATTAGCAAAATATTAATCTTTATTTTATAAAAAAAAACTTTTATTAATGTTACATACGTTCGTTATCATATTAGTTCTTTAAAAGTTGTAATTTGTGCAATTTTTTTTTCTACTTCACAATAAAGATAACCTTTTTTAGTAATATTGGAATTTAATGAAATTTGTGTAAATTATTGATGTTTTCTTGTTGTCATATTTTATAAAACCAACCTTTCACAAATGTTTTGAGGTGTTGACGGTTATCTGTTTGAAACGGACTAGACATATTTTTCCATATCTAAATCCATTGCAGTTTTAAACATTAATTTGTCTTATCAAACATCCTATTTAATTTTATAGATTCCGATCGATCCCTTCTATTATATTTAAAACGTTTTGACATCACCACTCCTTTCAGATAATATAGGAAACATACTATACTCCGTTTCATCTGTTTCAGGTGGACATCTTGGACACTTGCGGCGACTCTCAGTTCCCGGCGATGCGGAGGCTGTCTATTGCAACGGCCTCGGCTTTCCTCTTGGTCTACTCCATCACGTCGGAGGATTCGGTTAGCCAGGTGAAGACCTGCCTAGAGGAGGTGCGGGAGCAGCGCGGCGATTGGCAAGAGCTCCCAATCGTCGTGGCCGGCAACAAGTCCGACATGGCGGGTCACAGGGAGGTCTGTCTGGAGGATGTCTCCGAGTGGCTCTACTGCAGCCTACCCAAGTTCAGGTCAGTTATTCAATATTCTGGTTTCGTTTCGTCTATATAGTATTGCAAGTATCTTCAACAAATATTTTGTGACAATGATAAAAATAACTTTCTATGTTACGTTTTGGGATGTTTAATTTTACTCGGGATGCCACTGGATAATTACTGATGATAATCACCGTACAAATAAATTTGGATCTATAATATATTGATTGGTCCAGAATCAATTAATTGGATTTCTTTCTCAAAGGCTGGTTTGTGATTATCATGCTTCTAATTACACACACTACCTGTGATCATCATAATTTAAACAGGTGGCAGAATTAAAATAACTTTTACTAGAAAACTTAATTTATTTCTATGTTTAATAAAGAATATGTAGAAATTATATTTACAAGAACAAAATACGTGATTTAATGAATTTAATAATTCACTGTGAAGGCAAGATTTCAGATGGACTGTTGTGAGAGTTATTTGCCATAAAATATTATAACATTAGTAAATTTATTGTAGGGAATAAAACTTATCTATTGTCTATGAAGTGGTGTAGTTGGTAGATGTCATCGCTGCATCTGCAGACCTGAGGTCATCTCATCATGGTTCAAAGCTCTGCCAGGATCATCACGGTCTATGTAGGGCCAAAGCTTCAGTCCCCAAGCCGAAAGAAAACATAAGACCCATCCTTAAGACCGGATGTCAACATAAAACCTCTTTTCTTACTTCTCGGCGTATTGTATTCAATTATTTAGGGTGGGGCAAGGATGGTTTCCATTGGTTCTTAACTTCACCCTATTTCTTCACAATAACTGGTAACACCCTAAAAGGAACCAGTTATTTATCCCGTTACTAGTTTTTACTCTGAGTAGAGGTCTTCCCTAGAGCCACTTGTCGTTAATATACCTGCTCTCTTCCCTTGACGCCGTTTTTTTAAGTCAGAAGTCGGTTTCACCTTTGTTTTCTGCACCTCATAATAAGTTTAAAATCTTATTTCCTGTGTTCAATACTTAGAAAACTTATATATTACCTGTTTAAAATAGTTTTCTAACCACTTTGCAAAAAATCAAATATAAAAGATATTTGCTTATATTAAACAGCTTAATTATATTGTCTTTTCATTCATTGTTATGAAATATAGACAACAGTATCGATTGCCTTAGTTGATATAAGGTTTTCCACAAAAACAAAAGAGATCGGCTTTGAAGAGGAACATGTGTTAGATGTTAAAAACTCTACGTTTCTGGATAAAATCGAATGATTTATTTTAGTTGTTTTTTTTTCAGGTAATTTTGTTAACATTCGAATAAGCATACAGATAACCTACCAAAAAGTGTATACTTTTTGAGTAATCCGCAAATGAAATTCTGCATTCGTTTTAACTTCTATTCCCTCTCCTTTTCAGGGAAGTATATTATATACACAAACCTAAAAGGCTTTAAGATGACTTTCGCTAAGCAAGTTTCATTAAGAGGGTAATGTAGAGTTTCAAGGATCATCCTCGGTTGACCTCTGACTTGGTTTCTAAATCTCAAAAAGAAAAAAAAATGGCCTGGCCTCGGAGAATAGTAGTGGATGGGAGATGGGTGTATTTTTGTTTCATTCCATTTTTTTATTATATGTATCGTGCAACGTGAAACCTCAAATTTTGAGGTGTGAACTTTATTTTTAATTGATTACAAAGGTTTATAAAACAAAACATACTAAAATTAATTTTTGATAATAATTAATAAATAACTAACTACTAAATAATTAATAGATGAAACCAGAAAAAGAAAGAATGATCGACCATTTCTTCCTTCTTATAATATCTGAAATAAACTCCTGATTTATGAAACAAAATGGCGATTGGTCTTGACTTGATTCCAATTTCTTTTAAAATTTTATAAAGAAAGATGAGGTAGATATTTACCACAATTCCAAAGAAATAAAAAATTTCTATCAGATTAGCATTTACTCTTTAAAACTTTTATCATAACTTTTATCTTTGAGCCGTAAAGTCCGCTTATCTTTGTATTCAACTGGAACTGTTGCGGGAATCAAAGTATTGGTTACCGCAATTTGAATGGAAACTTCTTTAATATTTAATTTATTTCCCTTTATTGAAGAATCCGTAATATTTCATTTTCATTAAATAAATCTTAATTTTTATGCTTTATACTCAATTCATTTATATCATTGAAATAATCTATAGACAATTTTTTATTATACAGGAATTATTAACGCTCTTTAATATAAGATTCACTTCATATTCTCTAGATTCTGCCCTTGTATAGTACAATTTGTCTCAGTCCAATGATAAATTCATTTGGTTTGTTGGACAACTAACATTTTTGAGCAAAAACTATAGTGAGAACTAGTTACTGTAATGTTTTTTTAATAACACACTAATGAAAATTGTATTAGCATTCGCTAATGACCTCGTCTTGCTAGCTGTCAACGATCTCCAACACAACAAAAACATCCTCCAAAAAGAAATAACCGCAATAAAGATGAGAATAATTCCGAGAAAGATCAAATCCATTCAGATAAGAAAGTAACCATGGAGAACAACGAGTCCTGTGATAAAATGAAGAGAGATTAGAACAGGTAGATAATTTTTAATATATGGGTATTCAATGAAAGTGGTCGCATCGGTGAGAAAGTGTCTCGGAGAATTGCAATAGCTGGATGAGTATTTTGTTCACTTTGCAGGGATTTTCTGGAAAAATAGAGGTCGCCAAGAAGACAAAAATGTCTATATATTGACATTTCTGTCAATCCTATCGAACTCTCCGAATCAATGACCCTCGTTGGCCCTCCTCCGAACCGCGGATCTTACTCGTGAACTATCTATGGGTTGGACATCTACATGGGATGGATCAAGAACGAACCGACAGGAAGACCTACCAGACTCATGTAGAGGGAAAGAGACCTCAAGAAAGACCACTCATCTCTTGCGAAGACAGTGTCCGGGAGGTGTTCAGGGAGCGACAAATGGTCCAGACTATACTATCAGATACTCAACACAGCATAGCGATAGTAAGGGGGGATTATGGTAATGATGATGAATAATGAAAATAGATGCTTATCTGACGATATCAACTGTTTATTTACTAATATATATTTTATTTTATGCGTTTATATAAGCTCTATCTCTTTGAGAGTACTAAGTCTCGAATATTTAGACCACTACAGCACAGATTCAATTCTCGCATGGAGACGGTAACATCCCCACCCTAAAATTCAGAGGGAAGTGATCGCCTCCTGTGTCTTGCACCATGGATGGCTTCTGCTCCTCCAGGCTGGTGGTTGGGTAAAGGGCTGATAATCCTCTATCCATTGAAAAAACTGAGTGGAAGATTGATGCAAAAGATTGCCAGCCATATTTCAGGAAAGTTCCTGATGAAGAGGGAGTAGATAAACCACGTGCTTCCTGGACGTCTCGAAGAAGAGAGAACCAAATGATCACTACTGTCACCTATAACAGCCACAAACTGCTGAAGACTCATGACATAAAAGTTATGAGTCAACAGCCGTAACTTAAAAAGCTAAATATTAATAAATATCGCCCAAAAACGTTTGGAGAATAATCAACTCCGGGGCCTCACCTTAGCACTCGATCATGGCGTAGTGTCTTATCCCCTTAAAAATTTGAATAATTTTCATTGAAAATAAAACTCCTGCTTTGTAAACTTTACTTTTAATTTGAGATAGAATTGTTTTCATGGCAATGAATATTGTAATTAATATTATAATTAATAGCCAGGTCAGGATCAGGAATTAAATCAGGATGCGGACAGTAACATAATTTCGAATTTCGAAATACAAAGTTTTAAAATTATTTTAACTTTATATATTTTGGAGATTCACCTCAATTCAATAATGATAAGTGTACTCACCAATATATGCACGAAAAATGAAATCTACTACATTAGTATTCTATTCTCTAAAATTCTATTCTATTTTCTATTCTTTAAACACTATTATTAATCTGAAGAAAATGGCCTCCATGTTTGCTATCAACTCAGGGAACCATCTTAAATAATAACCTAAACCATTTTAAATTTGCTCTATTATTTGATTCTTCTTGTGGTTTATTATTTTATTACTGATACTTCAGTTCTGTATTATTACTTAAAACCTCCTTCATTAAAATTGAAAAATCTTTCCCGTCAATATAATCTACATTCTTTTCATGGATGATACATTTTCTATACTTTGTGTTATGTAATAAAACCTGTACCACTAAAACCATGAGTAATGTGAGTAAAGTGTTTTATAAGGAAATTCTTTTTTATTGGTCAACAGTCGTGCAAGGCAGTGATTTTACCGAGATCACGCTTAATAACCGCTAGACTATTAATTATAAGATAATAATTATTTAATTAAGGTTTAACGCAGACCATCCATGGCTTTTTAGAGTGCCTTACTCACGAAGCTACCTTATAGTTAAAAAAATAATTCACCGGCGAGGTTCAAAATTATTATGTTTATATTCGAAAATAAACACAGTAGGATTACGTAATTAGTGTAGGCTTTAGACACCATAAAATAAAATGGCGATAAAGGTGAAATGGTTATAATTTTCTTCCATGATAATGAAACTAAAAGTCCTGATGGGAGTTAATGAATTCCAGCGCTAAGCCCCGGTGACTGGGCTCAGATTGATGGTCTGCAGTCCCGGGCCCTCGCCAATATCAATTTTCTCTTTTATTATTCAGGAAATAGAATCATAATCAACAGCTCCGCAAAAAAATGTTCTCTGGGATTACTTTACGTCCGCGCTATATTTTTTATGAATTAGTAAATATTTTTAATTATTTAGAGGTAAGTCGGAGTTCGATAGAACGGAATTCTTATAAAGTACATAATTTTTAAGTTGAACGTATTAATGTATAGGATGCCTCGGTTCTTAATGGCCAAACTGTGGGAGGCGATTCTAGACAAAATTTAAAACAAAAAACGTTCATTTGATGCATGGGTCGATTCCTAACAGAAAAGAAGTTGAGACCGATTTTGTGTCTTCTTTAAGATGGTCACATTTT